TGGGGGTCTTTAAGAAGCGGCTCGATGCCTACCTGGCTGGGGTCATTTGAGCCCAGTTTTCTTCCTGCCCAGGCAGAGGGTCAGACCTGAAGATCTACAAGGTCCCTTCCGACCCGACTTCTGTGATTCTGATTCTATGAGATGCAGGACCCCGAGGACCCAGAGTCTGCCTCCCTGGTTTGCTTGGTGGGGAGGGGCTAGGATGAAACACCACTAGACGCCAGCACAGATGCTGGGGGAACCTGCAATGAGATGGTTGTTGTGTCTGCCTTGGAGCCTGTGCCTTCCCCCTTATTGTCTAAAAGCAGCCAGTGCTCCTTGTCACAATAGGGTGCCCTCCCCAAGACTCCTGCCTTGAAATGACACCTGGAGACTGTCTTTGGCTGTCTCCCAGCTTCGTCCTCCCTTCTGGCCCCAGGGTTCCTGGATTAGAGGCTTTTGGTGTGCAGCATGGAGGACGTTTATGGCTGAGAATTCATCCCCCGGCCTCCACCTTGACTTTCCCTGTCCTCACCACCACCTGACCCCTCCTGCACTGCTGAGTGCCTGCAGTTCCCCCTCTCCTTCCCTTCTTTGCATTCACTGTAATACAGTCTCTGCTAATAAAGTCCCAGAACTAAACATGGTATCCCTGTGGTTGGTCTCTGTGCTGTCCCGAGCTGTGAGGTGGGAACCGAGCAGGACCCAGACCTTTTTCCCAGGTCAGATCTTTCTGTGATTTCCCAGGTCCTTCCCTTTCCGTACCCTCTTCTGCCTCTATTCTCTCGGGCACGCAGGATCCCAAAGGATCTGTCTCACAGTCCTCTAACTGTCTCTGATCTCGCTGCAGCTGCACTTTCTGGATAACACTTTGCCTTGCCATAACCTGCACTTGTAACCTACACCTTACAGACTTCACAGAAAACACACAAGACTGCTCTTGTAACCATCCATGAAAGACTGTAATCCTTCCCAAGGACCCTGGAGTCAAAGGACCCTGTTCGTTCACACAGCCTTTCCAGCAGAGAGATGACTTTCTCTGCTCTCTAGCTTCCTATTGCAAACACGACAGGAAGTTCTTACTTAATCCCAAGCGGACGACCATCCCATCAGAGACCTGGTGCCAGAGCTTGTGCTGCCAGGAGGGCGAGGGGCCGCAGGAGGTTGGCACATCTGGCAGGAGCTGTGCCTGCGCTGGTTGGGACCCAGAGCCCAGGAAGGAGCAGGTCCTGGAGCTGATGGTGTCTTCTACAGAGGAAGGCTCCCCATCCTCCTGCCGCATGTCTGATCCTGATAGTTACAGTGATAAATGTTACCTATCCAACTGTTTATCCTGTCACCACTTCATGACTGAAATGAAGCGTGTAGCCACGATCCTCCCATCTGGAGGCTGTAGTAGACTCATAGGGGAGCCTGCCCATCAGGCAAAGAACGGGTTTCAACCCTCAGGGACATGCCTTCCTCCTCTGGGCCTCTCCCCATATTTGCAGACTGTTTTCCTTCACAATCTGGTTCAACAGTCTGGAGGTTTTGTCCATTCCCTCCACTTCTTCCCCCATTTCTTATCTCCTGATATAAGACAGTTGAAATCTCCCCAAAACCTCCTGGGTTTGGATCCTGGGGAGCTCACTGCAAGCTTACTCAATGCCCCATAGTGGCTTCCCTTTCTGACAGGTCCTATATGTTTGTTACCAAAAACTGTCCCTGTAAAATCCTCCTGCTCACCATCTCCACCGCCTTTCCAATTCTAATCTATGGCTCCCATGCCAGGACCCCCGCCCCAGATGCTCTGTTTGCATTAGTGCCAGGCTACTGTGAAGGTCCCCCAGTATACCACACTCATGCAGGCATGTATTTCCCTGTACTAAAGCCAGTCCGGCCAGGCCAGGCCTCTTTTGGTCTGCTGTCTGGTACCAAGTAAACCAGCACAGCCTGTTCCGTGGTCAGGTTGTTGGTGACTAAACTGCTACCCTGACCTGGGCTAACCTGGGTGAGAAGGGTGTGTGAACACACAACAGGACGGAAAACGAGACCTGGCAAAGGGTGGATGAGCTCCCTACAACCGGACCAGGCACTGAAAGAAGAAGCAGCCCGGGGAATGCCCTCCGCAGCAGAGTGGCAGACAGTTACAGCCAGGACCGGAGCAGCTCGCAGAGAATCGGTACCAGCTTCTCCAGTCCGACTGGAGAACAGGTACGAGGCCCTGGCGACCCTGCAGGAGATGGAAGGGGAGGAGGAAACCCTTGGGCAGGAAGAAACACCACATTCTCCACACTCTGAACAGGTCAAGAGATCCACGCAGACCCAGAGGAGGAGGCGACGAGTGCTCGTCATAGGCGACTCCATCCTGAGAGGTACGGAAGGGCCCATCTGTCGCCAGGACCCCTCAACACAAGAGGTATACTGCCTGCCCGGAGCAAAGATTCGGGATGTGACGGAGGTAA